CTGTCACTACGGCCACTGACCACCCACTAGGCAGTAACTTCTCTTCTGTACCGGTCCTCATACTGCCCTCATCACTAGTATCTGAGGCTCATATCCTCTGACTCCCATTGACGATCTGGGCCTAAGCCTAATAGTGTATTAAGCAACATGGCTGACGTGTCACGTGGAGGTTGGTTCTCTCTTATCCTATCCCCAGGGTCACCACTGAGCTAGACTAGAATCAACCAGCCTAGAAGTGAATGGCTTGCGCTCCTCTCCAAGGCCTCCGAAGCGACTCTCCTCCCCAGTCCATTGGCGTTCGGGGGGGCACTGTTGGGTTTCACTGCAGATTGCCCAAGGAGGCCTTCTCCCCATTTACTACATCACTGTCAATAAGGCAAGAAAAGCAGCGCGAGCAGGAAGTGTTTCTGAAATATCCTTGTCAGGCTGGCAAGGTGGGGGAGGTAATAGCTGTCACTGGCCTGCCTTCTGTTGGTGAAAGAGACAGGCTTTCATGCTACATGGAGGCCCAAAGAAGAGCTCGAAAGCTTGTTTCTCTCACCAAAAGAAGTTGATCCAGTAAAAGCTACTACCTCCCCGACCTTGCCTCTCTAATATCCTGGGACCAGTGTGGCTACACCACTGCAAACCACTCAGACCGTGACGTTCCACTGAGCAGCTTGGACAGAGAGTCCGGGACAGTAGACAGCTCAGTCCCAACCCACGTTCTAGTTAATTTTACATAAGGCTTTGCAACACACATACACCTGCTGCTGCCATTTCCCATTGCTCCAGCAGGTGGTACAATTCTTCAATAGTTGAACTGGTCGTTTTTTAACTGAGTAAGAGGCTTTCGCTCTCTGGGGCTTGTTTGGGTTTGTTTTGGGTTTTTTAAACTCATGGTTAATTGAATTGCTTCTCCACCTGCGAGATGCTGTTGGAAGTTTTGGTATCTGTTTAGACTCATCCAAAACCAGGCCAGCCCCGGCAACCGGGAGATCATTGCGAGCGTGGCTGAGACGGACAATTGCGCAGCGCAGTCAAAAGAGTGCCGAGCATTTTAATTTTCGGTAGCCTTCCCTATGGTCAGCCTTGCTAGAAGACAGAAGAATTGTGCCCAACTCTGCAGCAATTTGGTCCTGAACATACTGCACCTTGTGACCATGTTAATAGGCCATTTTTATTATTCGGTGCTAAATAGCATCAGCACGTCTCCTGCTTTAAAAAAAGAAAATGATGCAGGTTGTGCAGTGAAAAGCCCTGTAGACAAGTACAGTAAAGGCAGCAGAAGGGCAGGCTTCTGCACAGCACCTTGTCAATGAGTCTTGACTCTGATCTGGGTGCGGAGAGGTTAGTTCAGTCTCCAAGGTCTGTACAGTTCTGGGCTGCTGCTGAGCCAACAAGTGGGCGAGGTAGGTGCTGATAATGGTGATGGCTTGTGCATTGTGCTCCTCTCACCTGGTTTGAATCATCTGGCTTCTAACCAGCCTTTGTAGGCGCTTGGCTACTATTTTTCTTAAGGCACCAGTAGGCACTTGGCTACCATTTTTCTTAAGGCACCAGCTCTAGCTGCAAATCTTAGGGACACCCTGGCCTTTTCATCTTCTGTCTCCTCTTTCTGTGGCTTTCCCTATGCTAGCAGACTCCACAGCTGCCGTTCATTGCCGTAGGGTTAGACAACAGAGTGGTTAAACACTAACGGCCTGGCTATACTACAGTTCCCCCCACCTTGGCGATGGATGATGGCGTGACACTAGTGATGAGCTACAGCAGTGGAGTAAGCTAGCACTGACGCAGTCTGAGATCTGCCTGTCACCACCTCCAGATCGCTGTCAGAACTCACCCTTCTGCTGAGAAAAACCACCAATTACAATCAATTAGAAAAAAGCATGCTTATTCCAGAACAAGTGTCCACAGGGGGAGCTATTCTGGTTTGTTTCCCCAAGTAGGTAAGCCTTCATTCAAGCTTCAACTTCTTCTGGTCTCAGACCCCTCTTTTGGGATGAGTAATTCCCCCTTGCAGTTTCAACAAGATAGAGCAGTCTTCACCTCCACTCTTAAAGTCTTAAACTGATATTTGGTGCTTTTCTTAAAGCCCCAGCTCCTGGAGGTATGCAATTGTGAGAATCTCAGCTTTCATTTAAAAAAAGATTTCTATCCCTCGTAGTTGCAGATAACAGCTTGAAAACATGGCCTGAGTATGACCCTAAAGGCTCAGAAACCTGAAAGCAAAGAAAAAAAACAAAACAGATTTTATAAAAAAAACAAAGAACCCCCATGATTTTTAAGCCAATTTTGTGATTTTTGAATGCTTAGGGGTTGGCAATGCTGTTAAAGTGTTCCACCCCAGATATGGTTGCACTTTGGTGCTAGGTGAAGTAATCCCTAATTAACCTAGCACGAAGGGGTGCTGTGCGACTTGATTGTCTGAAAAGTTTTTGAGCTGCAACTGACCTTCTGCTGAGAGATAACATATCAAGCCTATCAGTGTTGCTTTGGATTTCCTCATTAGCACTTTGCATATTACTATAGATAACGAGCATCATGCCAGGCTTCAGCCTCCAGACAAAGAAAGGGGCTCTGTAGGGCCAGTCCCAAACTGCCACTATACTTGTTCCTCTCTCCAAACACCCTGTTCTCCTTCTCTGCCCTCCCCATCCTTTCTAGGGTGTGTGGGGGAGCCATATGGGCTTGGGCAGGGAACTGCCTGTTACTATGAACTCCTTCAGACTTTCTCTTTTAAGGAGGGAGAATTTCATATTAACTCCTTTACTGCCCCATGGGTGTTTGAGGCATGACCTGCGTTACATGCCATGTGGGGCCCCAGATGTGGTGCTCCAGGGGCTAAGCAGATGTGGCCACGCTAAGCTCTTTTGCAACAGTAAACTGGGTGTAAACTCAAGCATCGTTAAATGCTTGTTCTTTTTCCCTGGGAGCCATTGGCAACCAGCAGCCCATGGCCTGGCTGACAGGTGGTGGGAGATCGCCTGTAAGGAAACTGGGGTGGGGTGGGTGGTTGCTAAGGAGGAAAGAGGGGAGGGGGGAAATCCAGCTTCTATTTGACATCTTAGTGCAGCGAATAACTCCCTGGCCCAGGAGAAGCATCAGAACCACAGAGCAGGGGGTGCGTTCAGAGAAGGGCGAGAGAGTGGCCAGTCATTAAAGAGACAGACTAAGTGAAAGCCTGGGAGTGAATCCTACCTCAGCCAAGCTGGGCCGAGGGGGGGGGGGGGGGGGAGAGGGGGGGAAGAGAGGAGGGGGGCAGATTGGAGCGGGGGTCCATTGTGAAGACAGGCTCCCAAGGGAGCAGGATGGTAGCTCCCCCAGCTCCTCTAGGCCCCAAGGCCATTTCTGAGGCTGCCTTTGATAGCTGTTGCTCCTGGGCATTCATCTGGGCCTAAAGTCATTTCTCCAGAGTCCCTCATGACCCAGCCCTTTCTGAGCCCATTCCCTACCCCCTGCTCTCAGAGCCAACATCCCCTCCACCCACCCACCCACACCCATCTCCAGCTCTGCTGGTCTCCTGCAAGCAGCTCTCTTCTAATGAATGGTAAAGCCCCATTTTGCTTAGTAGCCCAGAGGTTATCAGCCTCTGGCTGCAAAACAAGGCAACATGCCCCAGCGCTGCCACCCAGGCTCAGTTGCAGCCTAGGTCTGGACTTGCACACACAGCACCTCCTCAGCTGTCAGCTTATCAGCCCCCGATTCTCAATAGGTGTCATCTGAGCAGCCTCCCGTGTCCTGATCTGCAGCCTGGGCGCTGCTCCTTGACTGACAAAAGCCCCTGCTCCGGCTGCTCTCTTCTGCTAGCTGTTCTGTTTTACTCACCCGCATTCTTGGCCTAAGCGGGGGCCTGTTGAGCATTCCCATTGGAGACATAATCCCCTTTTCTATTTATAAACCCAATCCTCATTACAGCACTTCACTTTGTTCTATATTTGAGGGCAGGAGTCATTCACCCCTTCCTACCACTCCGATCCCTCTGGATTCCATCTTTGCTCCTCCCCCCATTTCTTGCCAGCTGTACACTAGTCATACAGTGCCCGAAATGTGCACAGTCCTTACCGAAAAGAGACGGCAGCCCCTGCCCTAAAGAGCTCTTGCACCATGCCCTGGAATGGCAAAAGTTCAGCCTCCCTCTCTCAAGTCTCTTCATTCCCCCTTGCTTTGCAGGCACTAGCCCATGCTGAATTCTGTCTCCTGCCCCCACAGTCCTCTCTTCTCCTCAAAGGAGCTGAAACACATTCCTTTGCCTTGACTGCATTTCACCTGGCTTGTCCCTCATTAAGAGCCTGCATCTTTATCAGGCCGGAGGCTTCCAGCTTTATTGCTGCTCATTCAGATCCTACCCCCTGGCCTTGGAAAAGGCACGGACCCCTCCCTGGCTCTCCCTTTCCCACCTCTCTAAACCAAGAGTGTAGAAACCTCAGCTGCCTGGTGGGAGTTCTAGCAAGGCCTGGCCCACCTATCTGTTAAGTGTCACGGAAAAGTGGTGTTGGCTTTTTGTTGGGCCTCAGCCACCCCTCCCCTTTCCAGCCCGGCCTTGAGAATCTTGGCAACTGGTTCCTTTATTTCATCTCCCACCCGCCCAATTGGTTTTTAGAGGAAAAGAACAGGAGCTTTGTTGGGTTCTTCCAGTGTGGGTGTTGAGCAGAGAGGAGGGAAAGGGTTAAGTGTATGTACAGCACATTCAAAGTGCCAGGGATTAAGGCATTCCAGTGCCTTGGGTCTGTGAGAGAAGTCAGTCCTACAGGGTGACTAGAGGAGGGGGACTCAGGTCTGTGGAATTGGGAATCTAAAGGACTCTAGTTCTGCCAGGAGGGAACTGGGAATTCATCCAGTTCACTGACATTTCTGCCCTGGAATCTGCCTTCCATCTAGACAGGAAGGGTGCCAACATGCCCTGCATGGTAAAGCAGAGTTGGCACTCTTGGACTCTCAGCTACCTTGTGTCCTTGTAAAGGACACTAGCCACTGGGAGTGGGGGAGGGAGGGGAAAAAATCCATCACACCAATCCAGGTGACATTTCCCCGCTTTTATGTAAATTAATATTAATAGTTCCAGTTTGGATTCCATACAGACATATACAAATAGGGAAAAATAATTTCTATTTACAACATCATTAAGTTATTTAATTAATTAGACTTTATAAAAAACCCAGCTCTTTCTACATTAGTGTCCTTATTTTACAGATAGTACAGGTGAGTTAATCTTCATCTCATTCACATTAACAGTGTAACGTACACTACCAGCACCACATGGGTCCACGAGTGATCCAGAGACAATACTGCAAGGATCTGTGCCATATTCAGTGCCTGCAGTACCAGGCAAATCAGTGTGTGAGAGGCAGAGAGTACGCACAAGTCTCCTGTGTGTTACGAGCAATAGCTTCCTGGCTCAGGCTGCTGCGCTCTGCAGACAGCGCTGCGCGGGCCAGGCTGGTGTAGTGTTTGTTCATTAAGAGGCACATTAGTGCAGTACTGAATAGATCCCGTGTAACGTACACTACCGGCACTCTATGGATCCCATGGATGGCCCGAGACCACTGCCCGCAGATCCCATGTAACATTCACCACAGATGCTCCACAAAGCCCCGCGTAGCACGTCACCAGCATCTCCAGGAGTTCTGGGTAACGTGGTTACTCGGCAGTGACCCCGTCCAGTTCCTGAAGACGCCCAGTGTGTAAACAGTAGATGGAGGTGAGCCGGGGTCACACGATGCTGGCGAGTTCCGTGGAGTCCGAGTCGCTGCTGTTTTCCTCCTCCCTGGGAAGGGAAGGATTGGTGGGCATCAGACAGGAATGGCCCCCTTCCCGCCAGCTGGTATCCCCATGCAGAGAGCGCTCTGGGCTCGAAAGCAAGGGCCAGCGAGCCAGAGGGGGTTAGTGAGGGATAGTTACAGGGAAGGGAGCCCTCCTCTTAGCTGCAGGATGGGAACAATGGGGCCATTCGCTGCCAACATCTCCGGGCTCTGGAGTCAACGCCGCCAGGGCAGAGAGGACTGTACGTTCCCCTCTCCAGCCCCATTCAGCCCAGACTACCAGCAGGGTGACAGAAGAGCCGTTTCTGCTAGGTGGACACCTTTCCCTCCACTAGGAACTGGATGGAGGCCCGACCCCCTTGTAACAGAGGCCACCAAATGGTTGTGAAATGCTCAACAGCTTTCTCAGCACCATTCTGGAGCAGATTGAAATAGGGGCCTTCTAGGGAAAGGCTTCGTTTCCCAGGCCCAGCCGTATCGCCAACGTTTATTTTTTTTTACTTCTCGCAGGCTCCACCAAGTCAGTAAATGCAGCCCTGAGCTGGGTCTGGGGGAAGCAGCAGAGACCGCCCGCTCCCGCAGCGGAAAGCCAGGCAGCGGCACTGCCGCAGCCACGGGAACAGGCAATGCACAGCACTCCACGTGTATTTATATTCATTGCAGTACTTTACCATCCCACAGCAACGTACCGGAGGCAGCGCCGCGGCTGGGGGAGTCCTGCTCCACCTCTAGCGATCCGCGATGCCCCTGGCATCTTACGACACTGCAGCCTTAAGACCCTACCTGCTGGGTGATGCCACTGAGCAGCGCGGCAGAGTCTCACAGCCACCCGTCAAAGGGCAGGCGGTGCGTTAGGGCTGCAGGGTGTTCGGAGGCTAGCTGGAAGTGCAGCTCCTCAGGGGAGAGATTGTCAGCCTCCTACAGGCTGAAGGACTAGCCACCTTCCTCAGCCTCCCAGTGACCTGCAAAGCCAGGGCAGGTTCTCCCAGCACTAGAGCTGGTCAGGGCACTAGTGAGAACATTGCCCTTCCCCATCACTCTCTTCTGGAACTTGCCCAACCCAATGAGTGCAGTCCTTCCCCTGCAGCACAGAGAGGGCCATGCCAGCCCTTACCTTAAATCTTGCAGGGCCTTCTTGTTTTCCCTCCGCCTGTCCTCGTCAATGGGGTACAGCTTGAATAGGAGCAGGCCCAGCAGGATCAGCCCCACCGGGGCTGCCGATACCAGCATCTTCAGCGTGAATTTCACCTCCTCGGGCTGGGAGCAGCCCCGGGTCTTATAGCCTGCAAAGCTAAGAGAACAGGAACTGTCAAGCAAGGGAAATGCATGAGGCTATTACCAACCTCCTCTCTCCACACCAGCTCAGTCCTAGCTCTCCAGAGGTACCTCTCAGGGGAAGAACGGCCATGAGATAGATCAGGATTCCCAGGGAATTACTGCTGAGCCAGCATTCGCTGCTTTAGCATCACATCAACCCTCCTCCATCTAGCAAGGAGCATCTCTTCCTCCAACCCCAAAGCCAACAGCCGCCATGGTCTAGAAGCTCACAGCTATGTGGTCTGTTCCATCCCCCCTGATGAAGCAATGGAGGAAAGCCAGCCCAGCGAGGAGGGTGTCAGCCTGGAGCCTCCTTGCTCCACCACAGACATCCTGTGTGACTTTGAGCAAGTCACTTAGCCTGTCTGTGCTTCAGGTCCCCTCTGTAAGAGAGGGACAGTAGCACTGCCCTGCTTCATGGGGGTGTTGGGAGAAGAAATCAGTCAAAGGCTGGGACGTGCTCTGGCCAAGGGGCTGGCATAGCAAGAGGTAGCACCTCAATTCACTACCATAGAGAAAGGCCGGTTCCTAAGATTTCTCCTTTTAGTGCTTATTCACTGCAAACTTGGAATGAGCCTCCCTCCTAGGACAAAAGCTGCAGGGGAGATGCACCTGGAGCTGCCTTCAGTGCCAGCCTCTGGACATCTAATCCCAATTCCCTTCATGGTTTTGTAGCTAAAAATGGAGACGCTCCAGACTGCAGGGTCTGAGAGAAGCCTTCCTTCTCTGTCCCAGCTACCAGCTCTCCTAACAAGCCCCCCCCGCCTCCAGGCTCGGCGTGCTGACAGGACTCACTCTAAGCTGAGCGTGGAGATCCCCAGAGACACCCCGGAGGCGAACTTGGTGAAGAAGACGTAAAAGGAGAAGAAAATAGCTTCATGGCCACGGGAGTCTGGGTGCTGGAGGTTGAAGTCGTCTATGACATCTGGCAGCATGGACCTGAGACGAGAGAGGAGAGTGCGTGAGCCTCAGACAGAGGCTAATGAAACCCTCAAGTCTTCAGTGGAGCCCACACTTCCCCTTCCAAAGCAGAGACATGGGAGGTCCCCACCCCCAAATTACAGACTTCCAATTACTTCCCCTCCAATAACGGTACAGAGGGGCAGAGACTTGGGAAAGGGCCATGGAGTGTGGGTTCACCTTCATACTGAAAAGACCCACAATGCCCTGCGTACTGACAGGAGAAGGCTCAAGACCTCAGGAATTGCCTCATCCTGGATCCGAGCACTAGAGTCATCAGCCCAGATGTCACCGCTGTGCGTCAGCAGATGTCTACCAGCGATAGAGAATGCGGGATCGTCGTTCTGTGGTTGCCGGAGCCCGGAGGCCTCACACTCACCACGGCAAGAGGAAGGCAGCAGCGACACTGATCCCAGCTGCAATGGCCACAACGTAGGTGACGATCAAGTTACTCTCCAGAACGACAACCATGATGAGGAAGGGGATGGCAGACTGTGGAGCCAGGAAAGAACAGAGGTGTCACCTCACCCGCCGGGCAGCAGATAATCAAGATGGACCCGATGAGCCAATTGGCCTCCCCCATCTTCCCTCTCATGTGAGTTTCAGCACTTGGAGGTGCTGGCTGATAGGGTAGGATCTACCCACAGCATAGGCAGCAGTAACGCAACCTCTCCAACGCTGTCCCACCAGCACCCTGCCCTGGAGGGCCCATGTCCCAGGCTCAGAGGATAATTCAGTCTCCATGGCCCAGTCTGTCCTTGGCCTCTCCGCCATGACTACCAAGAAGTGCCCTTTGTGACACCACTAAGAAGTAGAGAGAGGCCAGCGAATGAATGTCAGGTGATGGTGGTAACTTCTGATCACCCCTGACCCGATTTGGAACCGCTACCTAGAGGGGTGAGGTTTAGATCCCCTGCTCTGGTCTTTCCTCACCTCCACTTGCTAGGATTCCCTATGAGGCACACAGCAACAAACCACTCTCTGCCCCTCTGTGACCCCAGGAGACTTACTTACCGAGATCCCAACATACACAGCAGTTTTCTTCCCAAAATGCATGAGGAACCATTGCCAGAGGGGGATAGACAAGGTGGCAGAGAGCTGCAAGAGAGAGAGAGAGGGGAAAAGACACATGACTCAGGCCAACCAGTCTCCATAGATGCTTTGTCCACCGGTCACATGTTAACCTCTAATGCAGCAGGAATGGAGATGGTTGGGGTGTCAGCCTGAGGTCAGGCCTGGATGCAGGACAGATTAATTTGGACCCTCTTTTGCCTGTGGTTTGGAGCCCCCTCGGGCGTTTCACTCATCCACACAAGGCCCTAGCCACAAGACCATCCTGGCTCTAAAGGACCTTCTCGAAGCCCACCTAGACTCGCGCCAGCGTCTTTACAGAAGCCGTCTTGCAAAGCCCATTGGCTCGTCCTCAGAGGGCAAGCGTTGGAAGAGAGTCTATTCTGGACCAGGCCTGATGAACGTTCGTGACAACTTTGCCAGGCTGCTCTGAAGCAAGGCGGCCCCTCCCTTGCCTAGAACAGAAGAGACCCAACGGGCTGCAGCCAGACACATGACCAACATCCTGGTCTTCGCGGGGCCAGGGAGGTGCATTCGGCTATGGGATTGGTCTCTTGCTTCCATTGCTTTTGAGCCCTTGCATTTCCTTAGAACCAGGGGTGGGTTTTCTTTCTTTCTTTCACTGCCTTTCTGGCAGGGCAAAGTGTTTCACGCCACAATGCTCCCCCGGCCCCCTCCCCCACTCTTTCTCCATCTAGCAACGTGCAAAGGGTTCCCAGACAATCTGCTCTGTTCCCTCCATTCAGTGCCTCCCTGCAATCACCACTCAGGGCTCCTTTTTCCCCCCCTCATGGAAAGAAGGAAAAAAATGGCAGGGTTTAGACAAAGGGCCCGCGCGGCTTTTATTCTCCCCTCTTTCATGGTCCGCTTCAAATGCGGACAAAGGACTCGCTGTTCTTGCCAACTGGCCGTGTCTTTCCAGGAGCCACGTTAAGTAACTCGTTACCCCTCCCCCCACTCCTGAGGCAACCTCCAGTCACCTTCCCCCACATGCCAGGCTCTTCCAGCCCTGATCTCCCCTCACCTGGGGCTCCCCATCTCTGCTTTAGGCTCTTAGACCACTACAGTCAAGTCCCCACCCTCACCAACCAGTGGGCTCCTGAGTATAGAAAGGAGGAGACCGCCAGGTGAAGGGGACAGTGATTATTATTATTCATCATGTTTATTACTGTATTGTCTAGGGACCCAGGGAGATCAGGGTCCCATTGTGCTCGGAGCTGTACAGACAGGCTCACTACCTCCAAGAGCTGACAGTCTGCCTAGCCCAGGCAGGCAGGGTCGGGGGAAGGGGTGCCACGTACTCACACGCGCCATACGTACCATGATGGCCAGGAGGATGTTCTGGAATTCGTTGCGGAATCCCAGGGTGTAGGTACAAAACAAGGCAAAGTTCCCTTCCAGCAGCTGGGAAAGGAAACAGACACGGGAGGTCCGCAGAGCAGAACGGAACAGGGAGATTCCCCCTTCCAGGGGGAAAATGCACTGAACAGCCTCCCACGGAGAAACGGGATTCCCTGCAGCCCCCAGACCCACTCCCCGGGGAAAACGCTAAAGTGGTCTAGCTGGACCCGGTGCACAGACATGCTCGGGGCTGTACGAACGCAGCCCGCTGCTGTAGGCAGGCCTTGAGTGTATTGTAGCGGGAGGGAAATCCCCCCACCCCTTCCAAGTGGACTCAGCAAACAGGTCTAAGATTCCAACACCCTTTGCCCTCAACGCACCAGCTCAGGAATTCCCTCTCTGGGCAGAGATTGTCCGACACATCCGTAAACACAACCCAGGCCAGCAGAGCGGAAGGGTTAAAGAAGGGCTAACAGGCCTAGGTCACAGGAGGACAGGTACCGGCACTCGCATCGTGCTGGGAAGGGGACCGATAGCTATGGCAGAAGGGTGCTGGAGACAGGAGGAAGATGGTATTTGACCCCCACCCCCTTTGCTCTCCTACAGGTCCATCTGACAGTCCTCAGCCAGTTATGCATTTCCTCCGGGTGGGCTCTAAGCCACACTGTCCCTCCCCAGGCAGTTCCTCACCATGAAGGCGAGCGAGGTGAAGAGGAAGCCAGCAATCAGCTTGATGTAGGCACCGTGTTTCATCACCAGCTTCAGCCCCCGGAAGAAAGAGATGGGCTCATCCGACTGGAGCTCAGAGGCATCTGGGGAGCAGAGCAGGGTCAGCAGGTGATTAGAGACCTTTCTAAAGGCACCCTGGCATAACGGGCCCCAGTGCTATAACAGACAGGGGGCCCATTACTGCAGTACACTGGTATGAAAAAGGCACCCCTGAGACTCAGTATTAGCCAGCCTCGGCACCTCCGCTGACCCCCGTAACAACGATCTTCCCAAGTACGGCGAGACATCCTCACCACTCCTGTGAGGCAAGTCCCCATTTTAGAGATAGGGAAACTGAGGCACAGACCAGTTAAGTGATTCACCCAAGGCTACCCAGCAAGCCAGTGGCAGAGCCGGGACTAAAATTCTAAAGTCCCTGGCACCCAGATCTCTGCTCCCCTTTGTCCCATGATCAGCAGAGCACTGCTCCAGTGCAGGTCTCCTGTTAAGGGTGGGGAGAGCGGGACGAAACCCAGCTGGGCTCAGAAATAAATCCCACTCCGCATTGTTATCGCAGCTATGGAATAGCCCGAGTCCAGCCAGCATATTGGAGGCTAGACATTGTCAGCCAAAGCCAGGCAGCAAAACGCTGACGCGGGTAAATACTGGGCAGGAAGACAAGTTCTCCCAGATGGTTTCCTGCAGTAACAGGGTCCCCTTGAGATTCTCCAGTGAGCCGTGCCATCTTGCCACTGACACAGTCTTTCCATGGAGGTTTACACACAAGAAATGGGTGTCTGAAGCGGTGTCCCCCCCCCCACCCCCACTCCATACCCATCCTGGTTTACAATAACCTGGACTCCCACTCGCCCTAGTTTTGGCGGATAACCAGGTGTCAACAGCACCACCCAGGAAGAGAGGCATGGGAGGGGCAAGTACTTCAACTCCCAGGGAGAGTTGGGCTCCAGGCATCGAACTGGGTGAAGAAACCAAGCCAAGAACCCATCAAGCCCAGGACAGGATCCTTTGCATTCGCACCGTACACCCCTCCCCAGCCTACGCCCTTGAATGGAACCCTACCCCCTCCAGGGCTTCAGCTGTGTAACAAGCGCCCTGGTCTCTGCTCTTCATGTTGGTTTAGCGCAGGACGGGCAGCGTTCCCGGTTCGTGCAGAGCTGAACTTCCTTCCCAGATCCAAACTAACTGCTTAAGAGCAGGGTTGGGAGCCAGCGTGGGGTGTGTTCAGCATAGCAGGGAGAGTGCCTGCCAGGGGAGGGGCTGTTTGAAGAACGTGCCTTCTAAACACAGCTCAGGTTTGAATGGCCTGGATGACTTCAGTCCAGAGGCACTTGGCTCACAAAGGGGCCCATTTAAGGAGATCAGCGTAAAACATTGTCCTCTGCTCCTGGCCCGCTGGTTAAAGCAAGAGTATGACCCTGGGTGCAGCTTTCACCTGAAGCAGGTGATGACAGCTTTTAATAGGAATTCCCATCTCCTGCAATTTCCCCTTCTGTGTTTGTTCCCCGCTTTCTGCCCATATGATTAGGGGAAAGACACGTGGCTAAGGAACCACTGTTCTAACCCCTCTGAAAGAGGCGAGATGACCCATGTACAGGGTCCAGCCTGGTCTGTTACTTGGAAAGCCCTTCTGGGCTCTGGACATTGCAAATGCCAACGTAAGGGCCTTCCTCCACCTCCCGCACTCACCTCGCTTCTCCCGCACGCCCAGAAACAGGACGATGGCGCAGAGTATGTAGATCCCACCAATGACTCCCGCTGCAATCATGTAGGCGTTTCTCTGTGCAAGACAGATGCAGATCCAGTTAGCGAGGCTGCTCCGCCAGGCCCCTTCTACCAGCCGCTCTTGGGGAGCTCTAGACCTACCAGCCGCTCTTGGGGAGCTCTAGACAATGGCGCAGCCAGCCTCACGCGTGCGCCAGCAGAACCGGACAGAGCTCTCGCTACAGACTGGGGTGGGGCAGAGTCTATGCTGTGCTATGGGGCTGCATAAAAAGCTCCCTGCTCCACCCCCCGATAATGCCAGGGGATCCTGAACAACGAACTTCCCTCTCTGCAGCCAGTTCTCACCATAAACGAAGGGACCATGCACCCCACAGGCACCTGGATTTGCGTCTGCAACTGAATCCAGTTCCGATGAGCCACGAGGCTCTACTGTATTTTAGCTCCATACCTGTTGCATGGAGATAGGTACCCATAAGTTCCTAAGGGACCCCTAAGTTCCTTAGTTACACAGCAGCTAGTGGGGCCCAGTCTCAGGCTGTAGGGATTTCTCTGGAGACAGGGCAAAGTAACTCAGCACATGATTTTCACACGCTTTCCTGCCTCCAGAGTCCGGCTGAGGCAGCGTGGGAGAGGCTGCAATGAAAGAGGAGAGTCCCTGAGCAGGGTGAGGATGAGCGGCCAGGGTGCCACAGACCTACCGTGTCTGTGAGGGAGCCGGCATCCCGGGTAATGTTCACCTCCTCCATGGCCACCGAGGTGTTAGTGACGCCGAAGAGGCGGGAGTCCTGAATGCACGGCGTGTCCACCTGGCCCACGATCTGCCCCTGGATGGCCGTGCCCAGCACGGTGCCCAGCACCTCCACCGTCATACCTGAACAGAGGAGCCAGGCGGGTCATTACCGGTCAACGCTCTGGCCCAATAGAGTGAGGAGAGCGGCTGCGAACGCCTGCTCCTCCAGAGGCAAACACCTGGATGTCTACACATTCCGAACGTTAAAGCCATCAAGTGACGCACCGCGCCCACCCAGCCAGAAACGAGAGCAGTCGCTTCTCCAGATCTCCAAGCCTATGGGAGGAAGGTATCCCCACTGAGGGAAAACAGGCACAGAGAGGTGACGGGATTTGCCCCAGGTCACACAGCAGCTCAGCGTCAAGGCTGGGAACAGAACCCAAGAGCTCCAGATTCCCAGTCTCCTGCTCTAGCCACCGTGCTCTCCAGCGGACAAACTATCAGCAGGCAGAGTCCCGTCCAGACAGACTCCTGCCACAAGGCAGGTTAGACGTGGACATTAAACCGAGGGTCCCTTTAGTCGAAGAAGTGGGATCTGAGAGAGCTGCAATGCAAGAGAGGCGCAGGGAGCTTTGGAAGACTTTCAGAACAGGATCCTCATTGCCAACGTGTACATGTGCAAACACGCTTGGACACATGGCTGTACACTTGCAGATGATCTTACACTCATCCTGCAGGAGCAGCAAGGGACATCCCACACACACACACACACACACACGCCTGCACATGTAGTGGACAGGGTATGGAACGGAGAAACCTGCTGCCTCCCAGCGACCAGCAGCCAAACCCCGGGAGCATATACACTCCTGCGGCTGCACCCAAGCCGTGGGAGGGGGAAAGCACTGACTCTGCAATTGTAAGGGAGACGGGAAGGGCTCTTACGATAGGCGGTAGCGGAATCCCGTTCGCTCTGCTCCCTGCTGATGAACATCGTGAGCGCTGAATAGGGAACATGGAAACACTGCAACGAGAAACAGGGCGGATGGGAAGAGAGAGAAAATTAACCCTTTGGTGCACAGACATTCATGCTACAGACCCCAATGAGACGCTGACAGCAGGCCATAGGTTGAGTGGGTTGGAAGATTCTTTTGCGGGAAGGAAATTCCATCCAGATACAGACTATATAGAAGAGTAAATGGGAATCCTCGCCCCCCTCCGTAATGCTCCACCCCAGCCAGGGCTGGCCTTGGAGGGGTCCCCCAAACTGCTGAAGGAAAGAGGAGGAGATGAGCTATGACTTGTCCTGCCTCTCCAGTCCCCACAGCAGATCAGCCAACAAGCTGGCCCCATGGCCAGAGGCACGTCTGTGTGTTGTAGATAGGGTGACCAGATGAGAGGAAGAAAATATAGGGACACCGGGGAGAGTGTGTGTGTGTGTGGGGGGGGGGGGGGGGGGATGTGTGTGAAAAAAAAAAAACAACTGATGAGTGCTGCCAGCGGAGCGAAATATTGGGACAAATTGCGTCCCGACCAGAGATTGGTCGGAACGCGGAACAAACACCGAAAAATCGGGATGGGCCCGATTTTATCGGGACGTCTGGTTACCCTAGTTGTAGAATCAGGACGGTGGGAAACCCAGATGACACTGGCGGTCCAAGGACAGCCCTTACGGATGCTCTCAGCCTCTCACTCCTTTCAGGGTGGCTTGTGCCAACCCTGCCATTGTGGCACCACTCCTCGGCTCCATCAGGCAGGTGAGAAAAGGTTGGCTTCTCCCCCCCCCCCGCAAAAAAGGAGCCCAGTTGTGTGCATGGAGGGCGGACTCACCGTCACAAGGGTCTGGAACATGCAGTAGAAGAGAAGATACCACATCACTTGGCCACTCGAGAGGTCTGGCACAAACCATATCAGGAAGTAGGAGATCACAGCGAATGGAGTGGAGAAGATGATCCTTTGGGGGAACGAGAGAGAGAAAAAAACATCAGCATGAACAGTGACAAGCACCCACCCTCACAGCAGCTGGGCTGATACAAAGGCCTTGCTCCTCAAGCTGCAGGACACGAGCCAATCCAAGAAGCAGTTCCAGCCCTTGGGAAAAATATTGTGCAACTGGACGCATTACATCAGAGAGTTTGCTTTGAAGTACCCTGCAAGCATTGACCACCATTGGAGACAAGATGGTCTAGTAGTTGGACCACTGGTCCATTTCCTGGGGGTAGGGACTTAGAAATGGAGAAGATACAGAAAATCTAATCAAAGAGGAGCAGCTTTTCAGGCACAGTGGGACATGGGCGCGTCTAACAGGGTCCTCCAGCCTGACTGATCATGTCCTCTAATGCTTTCCTCTTGCCTCCACTTCACTATCCCAAGTTAACCCGAAGCCAGAGGCTGCTGAATGCCACATCACACGAGCCCTGTGGGAGGATGCTGGTCCCACGATGCCCTAATATTGTACTGTGGCTGAGGATCCAACCTCCCAGGCAGATTCCCCTTCCTGACTGCTGGCTCACGACTCGATGTGCAATTAGGCACCTGTCACTGAATGTCAAAGGGATCTGGGCACCTAAACCCCTTAGGCTCCTCTGAAAAGCTTGGTCTTAAATCTTTCCCCTGGCTTGCTCTAAACTGTGTGCTGTAATCCTGATCTCAGCCCCCATGGCCCTCTCCACAAAGGGGCTATTTAAAACACGACAAAGTACAGAACCTTCGAGATGGGAAGAGAGAAGAGAGCCGACGGAGGTTTGCGGAGCAAGGTTTTGATCTCAGAGACCAAATCCCCTGCCTGGAGCAGGGTGGGGCTGCTGGGCGAACAAGCCGAGGGGATGTCAGGTCAACGGTTTGTCTATTTGGAGGAGGTGAAATGATGCAGGGGCTGGAACAGGGTGAGGGATGGGGCACAGCAAGGAGCCGAGAACCCATCTGCTCCCATAGAACACGTTTAAATGATTTAAGTTGTAAGCTCTCTGGGACCATCACCTACTTTTGTAGACCACAACGGGGCCCTGCTCTAGATGCTACCATTACAAAACAGCACATGCAGCTGGGAGACTGTTTCCCAGCAGAGGCAGATCAGCGTCCGAGAGCCCCTGAAACTCTTTGGGACCTGGATCCTGCCCTACCCATCCTGCCTGTACAAGGTGATGAAGGGACAGGGCACCATCTCCATTCTTAGTTCCTCCTTCTGTCCCTGGCTCTCATCCAAGTCGAGCAGTGCTCTGCACAGGACGAGATGCAAGAGCTTGTTCGGCAGCCTTCTCTCCCTTCTTGGCTAAGCAGCATGCAGGAGCAAGGGTGAAGGAACCAGTTCGGGCAGCAAACCCTCCCTCCACATCCTAGCCACCCGGAGGCTGAGCAGCAAGCAGCCTGGCTTGTCTTAGCAGGGCAGAGCTGCAAGGATTCCGGAGTATTTTACACACGCCAATCAAGCCTGCAGCACGAGGGAGGGCGGGATAAGGCCCATTTCCCCAAGCAGAGACAGACATTAGTTAGCAAAGGAAGAGTTCATCTTCAGACCCCAGAGACTAGCTGGCTCTTTCCTTTGATCCTGTCCGGAGTGGGGAGAGAGGGAGGTGGAAGTGGACTGGAAAGCAGGAAGCCTGCGTCTGGCTCCAGGAGTGACTCCCTACAGTACCCGCCAGCAGGGCCGCCGAGAGTGGGTTCGGGCCCCAGTGAAAATTTTTTTCAGGCCCCCCAGCAAGGGTGGACCGGCTAAACAGGGCCGATGGGTTGGGGGGGGAAAGACGGGGAAGCCAGTCCCCGGCCCCCTTCTGGACCGCCAGGCCCCGGTAATTTGTACCGGCTCCCCCCTCCCCAGTCGGCCCTGCCCGCCAGCAGAACTCCAGGGAGCTGGTTTTCTCACCACTAGCCAGAGCAAGAGATGGGAGCTGGTTTTAGAGCCCAAATCCTCCCCTCTACCCTGCAGTCAGCTTAGCAGCCTGGCACTACCTGGGGATACTGCAGCAGCTCGGAGGCTGGGCGTGGCCCATCAGCCCCAACTCAACCCTTTAGTTTATCCTTTTCGCTCGGCTGAGTCACACACATTGCTGTCGCAGGGACCAAGTGCTTGGGGAGCATCCAGTCTTTACAAAGGCACGAATCTTAACTGGCGACTAAGTAAATGGAGGTAAAAATCCCGCCAGCGTAAACCTACCCAGAGAGAGCAAAGGAGATTCCCCACATCCGGAGAAGGGCAGGGTGGGGGGTCCTCTCACTTCACAGTCACGCGAAGGGAGTGATTTGTCCCCCACACATACGTCACCTCCACTGCAGGGACTGAAAGACAGCTCCCAGGGGCCCGCTGGAGTTCAGGCTCTAACAGGGATAAGGCCTTTCCAGTTTCCATTCAGTATCACCGTATCCCAGAGGGGAATGGGAAGGGGCGGGGAAGGCTGGTTCAGAGGGACGACATCCCTGTGACGGCACCACCAGCAAGAACCCACAAGGCGAGAGACAAGCAGAATCCCCTGGGAATTTGGTACCTTGATCCATCCCATTTTTTCTGGGAAGGTCTGAATGGCCCCCCAATAATGGGGGGGGGGAGAGGGAAGAAAGAAAGCAGTTTCTTCTTTGGAGTAAAGCGATCCCCGCCCCAAATGCTGCAGCTAGGACTAGATCAGTCCCATGGGGAAATGGAGTCAAACACTCAGGCTGCGGGAAGGCCTAGAAGCCCCCCCATCAGACTCATTGTCCCATTGGACTAGGTTTTGCAGTCCCTGCCTTGTGGCGTTTACAATCCCAGAAGCGTTGGAGAGAGGATCCAGATTTATTGTTTCCTGTGGTACGGAGAGGAGAACGGGTCTCTTTCCTTTCTGGATTGACATGGCAAGACAGGGAGTTCAATTTAAACTCCCAGGGTGCGAGACATTATCTAAGCACACCGTACAGCAGCCACGTGGGGGGAGAGGGGGAAATACATGACCCGACATTCACATTTTTCCCTGCATCGGTCATTTCCACGGGGCGGGGAGCAGGCGAGAGTGTGACGACGAGGCCAGGAAGCAGTGGAAAGCACAGAGCCCGGCAGCCACTCCTCTCCCATCGCGTCTCGCGCACGTTGAGTCATTCAGAATTTCCATAAACTTTTACGCAGATCCGAAGCTCCAGGAGCGAGCACATTCCCAGGCCTGCTGCGGAGGGGGCACCCGAGCAGTACAGCAGGGGTGTGCTGCAAGGTTACAAACAAGGGTCCATTTCGGATGCCTGCTGGGCAGACTCCCCCCCCACTACTTAGACATCTGGGATTAGAGCCATGTGCGTGGCCTGCGTAGCTAAGGAATCAGTAGATCAGCTCACCCTGCCTCCCACCCCGTAGCCACCACTCATGCTGCAGCTTCCAGCCAGGAGACTGACTCGTAGTAACCCCTGAGCAGGACTGTGGCAATTTGCTCCACCATGCTATGCCGCACACCCTGCCTCCCCATTGGCCAAGTCGGGATGGCATGTTCCTCTGAAGGCGGCACCCCCCCCCCCGCCCTTAATCTTTAACTGTTTCCTCTGCTGGAGCAGAATCATTTCCCTAGCCGCGGTTTGCAGATAGGACACAGGATCTTGAGTTATCTGCAACGGAGGTTTGCAACAGGGCCTCTTAAATAAAGGGGGTGCTGAGAGCCCCAAATTCCCTCAGAAGAAGCGAGAGCAGGGCACTCAGATCAGAGGGAGCACATTGCTGGCTGGCACAGCTGTTAGGGTGACTTCAGTGAACAGAGAAGGAAATCCACGTGGGATGAATTTGGGGGCACGGGGGAGCATATGGGGAATCCAAGTTTAAGAGACCAAAATTATAACAAGAGGGCACCAGAGAGGGACATTTTATTTTGGTAAGTGAACTATCAAGCCAATGTATAGCTTACAATTTTATCCTGGGTCCCGGGGACACACGCATCGTCCCGTGTCACCACACGCAGCAGAATTACAGCCAGATGTACCCACCAAGTGGACTTTATTCCACAGCTTAAAAGGGTACAGCTAGGGGTAATATTTAGAATAGTTACCAATAAATTCCTTGGTAGATCTGCCTTGTTTATGAAGCAGGTTATAAGAGGATGTTGACGGGTGATCAGGGCTCATTAAAAGCAAGTTATACAAACGAACCGGGCAGAGATCTCAGGGCGATACAGATGAAAAATTAAGTATCATTCCTATTTTACAGGTAGAGAAACTGAGATCCACAGTGATCGAGGGCCCCACCCTTGCCCACGCACAGGGAGTCCCGTTTAAGTCAGTGGGACGGTCTATAGTTCTAGCTATTTAGGGTCACCAAAGGTGGCACAGTCGGGCAGCCAGCTACTTGCCCAATGACACAGAGCAAACACGCGTAAAAGCCATGAATAGAAGCCACCATGCTCAACTAGTAGACACGCTGCTCCCCTACCGTAGCAATGAGGCAGGATTCCAAGGTCTAAGGCCCAGTATAATTTGAAAGGTGCAAGCATTGTTCAGTGGAATGTGAATATTAAGTCCCCTGTGACCATTCTCCCCAACCCCAGCCTTAAAGGCACGAGACTGTAGCACAGCAGAGGACTCCAAGTATTTCTAGATGTTCAAATATAGAGCAATTAAAGAACAGCGCTCTGCTAGCTCTGCCTTGGAACCCACCCAGATCGCTGCTGCTCCTTGCTCACAGCCATTCCTCCAATTCCTAAGACCTCACAACATGCAGAGTGGGGAGGAAAACTATTTTTGGTCTATGTGTGAAGCCTGGTTTAGATCAACAAAAACAGGACAGCACGTTTTTCATTAGAACCCCAGGGAGCAGAGGGATGCAACTGCCGCGTGTGCGGGAAAGGACCAGTCCCGCTAATTTCCACCTCCCCATCTCCTCCTTCCCCCACCCCCCTTCTCTACTTGACATTTCAGCAATGCTGCCAGGTGCTAGATCGACTACCCTGGAGACGGATGTTAGCTCTTTAGCCACAGGGCAGATGCAGGCCAAGCCTCCGAACACTGCATGGCTAATGTGTCTCCATGCTCACCCGGAGAGGCAGCAGGTGGAGATCAAGCCCCCGGACACTGTCCTAATTTCTCTGCCGACTTGTAGTGCTGTTTTCTGTGAGCAGATAACCTGATTTCATGCAGGCAGGTAGCACTGGCTCATTCAACAGAGACCAATGAGCCACGGTTTTCAGTTGCTAGCACCCTGCAGCTGACTAGAACCCGGGCTCCTAGAGGGGGAAGGTGCTGCATCCCCTCACCATGCTCTCAGTCCTCTGAACCATCTAGCTCCTGTCCCCTCCACACCCTGCTTCTCTTGGACGTGTCCTGTCCGTGCATATGCCCAGAGTCCCGCTCGCCAAAGTGGGAGGGCAGAGAAGCGCAAAGCGAGAACATCTAGCAAGGAAAGAGCACACGTATTGCCGCTGCCAACGCAGGCCCCGTCTCCAGTTGCTTTCTCCTCTGCAGAATCAGCTGTAAATCACGTGGCTTTCCACAACCCACTGACCCTGGCTGCAGAAGTAACAGGTGCGTCAGAAACAGCCTTGGCTGCACCCCCCGTCCCATACACACCACCCCCTCCTGAATGGCCGGGATGGACAATACTGCTGCTCCGGAGACAGACAGCTCTCACCTTCCAACTGCTTCATTCCTAACATAGGGCAGATTTGCCAGGAAACCAGTCTGGATAAAAAGCCAAGCCCGACACCCTGCAACACGCGTATTTGAGCAAAGCCCCGTGGCTCTGTCCCCCAGAGACAGTAGGGTCTAATGGGCAGCCCATCGTGACAAATAGAGGACCTGTTTCTGTTCTCAGTGACATCGGTTTTACATCACCAGTTTTCATTGCCTTCAATGGAGTTACTCCTGATTTACACAGGTGAGAGGAGAATCAGGCCCAGTGCATGCTGGGATAGGGGTGAGGTTGGTTGAACCATCTTCGACTTCCTATTCAGACTCCTCCTCTCCCCCATCCTTCCAAGTCAAACCAGCTCCACGGAGAAGAACATAAAGCTAAAAGCTCCACAGAAGAAAAGAGGATTCAAACCAGGCTACAGCTCTTGGAAATCCCCCACCACTGTCCACACAGATTCAGTTCCTGCAGTGGTAGCAGCCTTGGCGTCCACTGATCTCTAGCAGGGTTTTCAGATACTGCGTGGATCAGATACGCGCTAGCGCAGCCGAACAGTCATGAGCAGCAGGAGGAACTTTGTACGTTTCCTTCATGGGGACGCCTCCCCCTGTCCCGCCAGGGCAGGTGGAGATAAAAGCAGCTGCCAGGGGGTGGGGCCAGTTACACCAACTTACATGTCTCACCAGCTGCAGAGTGTGTGTATATATCAATACACAAGCCAGAGGAACCTTCCCCTCCTCCCACCCCAACGACAACGTGTCCCAGCACTGCGACAAAGGAACACACTGTGCCTGCCGCCTGACGATTCACATGTCAATCTACAGACACGTGTCCTCTCCCCCGCAGCCTACTTTACAAAGCTCTATCTGCCCCCCAGCCCCTTGTCTCATTTCCCTCCCGTCCCCGGTGTTCATACAGCACCTAGCGCTATGGAATCCCGGTCCACGACTGGCATCCCCCCTGGGCACCACCACAATCCACAAATAATCAAGGGTCTGACTTATCAAGAGCCAGTTCAGTGCTCAGACGACCCCTTCCCAGGAGAGCTGGGAGGAGTGGCCACCTCTGTAACAAGGGATCTGGGGGGGAAGGGAGAAAAGTCATCCTGAAGATCCATCAAAGAACCCCCCCACAGGAGCATGCCCACCACCAGAAGCTCATTCTCTTATCGCTCAGGGCCACAGAGCTCGGCACGACTGCCAGCCCTTGCTCCCGGCCCCACCCCAGGGAGTTCCATACACTCAGCTGCACATGGGTCGATAACCACAGCAAGGCACCTCCAGCACAGGGGCTGAACCAGAGTCGTTTCTGGGAGAGCGAGGCCCATGTAACGATCGATTGCTGGGTTCATGGATTCCCACACTACCAGGTTTCCCTCTCACCTATCTGGAGGCTGCGAAAGGCTGAAGGCCCAGATAATAGAGTTTCCCTCCTTGTCCCTAGGGCTTCTTCTCATCAGTCAGGCATCTTTCACAACTTAAGCCATCTACGGATTACTCAGCCTTTAGCTGATTGCCAAGCGTCTGTTCCATTCCATTTGACGCACAGACTTGAGCTCTATTCCCAGCTCGGACTCTCTGTGCGACTTCGGGTAAGTTCCTTCCCTTTTCCGCGCCTCTGGTTCCCCACATGGTGACACGGGAAGAACATTAACCCTTCTTTGAGGCCTCCAAGTGGAGGCAAATGCAGGGTAGCCAATGCGAGCCTCTACTCTCTAGAAGGCCCCCAGGATCCTAAAGCCGACCTGGAAGGGCCCTGCTGCCGTTGTGTCCAAGGGAACCCAAGCTAGTCCATGCTGAGCCCCAACCTCAGGCCATGACGCAAAATCCCCAGCTCCAACAAGCTTCCCTTACCAGGGCATCAGGCGTCCGAGGCGGCTCCAAGGGGTTTTACTGATGAAGAAACCCACCATGGGGTCGGTGATAGCATCCCATGCTCGACCCACAAAGAGGATGATGGAGGCATAGAAAGGGTCCAGCTGTTATAGAAAGAGAGGACAGAATTCACTTGGATAGCCTTGGAAAGGAGACAGAGACCCTACGACCCGGAGGCTGTCAAAGCCCCTTCCCCCGGCTGATTGCTTTCCCGGAAGATCTCAGCCTCAACCTTCAGCATTTGGGAATGGAGCAGATGCACATGGGCCCCTCCTCCACACATTTCCAGGGTGGCTCAGAGGCAAGGGGACTATCTGACCCCTCTCCCCCTCTGAGATGGCCACCCTCGGGGCTGGTAGAGTCAGCCTGCAGCTGGAAGTAGGATTTCAGTCCATTCCATCCTACCCGTTCCACATTAAACTCTTGGCAATTTCATTGCAACAGACACCAACTAACCACCTCCACCAGTCCTGTGTCAGCTTAAGTCTGCCCCTGGGCCTGCCCACAATCCCATTTGGAGTAAGGATGTAGGAGAAGCCATCCCCTTTCCATCCTAGCTACATCCAGAATGTGTCACAAACATGGCCAGCAACAGCTTCCTTCCCAACCCACACCCTCCATCACATCAGTATATATATAGCTCTCTGCAGATACCAAGCCCAGCACCAGACCCTTCATCAGCACCGGAAGCAGAAGAGCATCTAGGCCCAATACTCCTACTTTGCATGCGCATAACAGATGTCATTAGATCTTAAAACTCAGAGAGGAGGGACAGTATTATCCCATTTTACAGATGGGGAAAATGGAGGCACAGAGCGGTGCACAAGGTCACACAGGACATTGGTGGCAAAGCTGGGAGTAAAAACCCCAGGAGACATTGCCCCCCAATGCTAGCAACTGTGAACCCAGCTCTAAGCCCTCTGAAGAAATCGCTCCAATCTGATCCATGCTTCCTTTTTTCTGGAGGGGAATTTGCTAGCATTTTAGAAACGCAGAGCAGAATTTTCTGGCTTGAAGTCTGGCCCCTAAATCCATATGTAGGCACCTGAATTTCAGATCACTTTTTCCCCCCCAAGGGGGCTCAACTCTGTTTGCATTCAGTGAGAATTCTGTACTCTGCAACTAATTCCCCCAACCAAGCTACTTCGGTGTGAAAATGAGGGGTCATGTGGCTCACTTTAGGCCCCCAAGTTTGAAAAGCGCCTTTATTTTTTTGACAGAAATCCTCCCTGCTAAAAGCCCATCTGAAAGGGACACAGCACTGACTGGTGGGGGAACGGGGCTCATCTAAGACTCCTTTATGCAACACTGAAAGTTACTGTGTGGGAAAGCCCTTGGGGGGTTCCCTCCATATGACTCACAGCGGCTGAACTCACCAATCACAAGAGCACCCTGTATTCAAATCCCCCCTCTCACCATCAGCTGCCTCCCAGCAGTCAGCTGATTAAGGCAATGGCAAGCCCCTATACCTGCAACCCTCAATGCGACACCTCCTCAGCTAGAAGCCAGACAGCCTGGGGGCATCTCTCTAATCAGGCACCTGCTCTGTTTTATACATAGAGGGAACGTCAGTCTGCTGGGCAAGTAGAAAAAACCATCAGGGAACCTCCCCCTACCCCACATCTCTCTCCAGCCAATGCTTTTGCTGACAGGAGACTATAAGCGTGCTAAGCCCCATGTCCCGAGATCAAGTCAGAGTAAAAATAGCCACGTAAGACGACTGGATCACAATGGATGTGTTTTGGATTAAGAGAATCTCATGATGGCATCCAGAGCCCCCAGGTATTACCCCGACGCTGGCTACTCAGCGCCAGGCTGAAAGAATTACCTGTGCGACATCCAGCAGGTAGATCTGCAAGAAAAATCCCAGGGCGCAGCCAGTGATCTGGTAGGGAGCGCCACCGACGGCATAGCACAGTTTGCTGCACACCGATAGCTTCGCTTTACTTTCCTTCTGCAAAAGAAATGAAAGGCTGCAGCTGGGTCGGGCTGGCCCTAGACAGTCAGAGCAACCACCACCAAGTGTAGGGAGCTTCCCCCTCCCTCAATCACTCCCCCACGTCCACCTGCAACCTAGGACCACAACAGAGCTTACAAACAGCCCTCCAGGCTCCACTGCCGATGAGCTGCCCACAGGTCTCCGCTTCGCTGGTTAACAACGGAACAGCCCCTCACATTTCAGTTTGACAGTCGAGGACACGGTGAATGTGTGTCAACTTATCCAGGACAACATACAGCTCGTCCAAACTCTGCTGGTTTAACTTCCAGTCCCCTGTTCTCACCACTAGACCTTACTGCCTTCCATGGTCAACGATCAGCGTTTCTGACCGAACGTGCCAAGAAAGGGAAGCACAGAGAGCAGATTTCAACGGCCTGATTCAGTGGCTTTTAAGGCTCCGCTAGCACTGAATACAGACTGCTCAGATCCCCTGCTTAAATTCAGCCCGACAGGCCATCCAGCCTACTGCCATCCCAGTGTGTGTGTGTGAGTGTGTGTGCGTGTCTCTCTCTCTCTCTCTCTCTCTCTCTCAGAAGAGGGCAATCCAGAATCCACTCCAACTAGCCAGATCCCTAACTTTAACCAGAGGCCTTGGAATTCAAGGGAGAGTCAAGCAGCATCCAAATAATTTCTCCCACTACTCATACTCCAGAAGGCTGTACTGTATTTAACTGCCCGTTTAAGTGAACATACAGGCTCAGCGCCTCCAGATTTACAGCTAACAGGAGGCTGGGTTTGCCCATCACACAGAATAAGCCAGAGTGGTTTCTATTTGCTTCTCACGTCTGGCGGCATCTCTGAACCTACAATGATCCACAAGCAAAAAGGACAGACGATGCGTGTGCAATTCCTCAGTCTCTCAATGAAAGTCTCAGAATCAGGAGAGTCACACCAGGGCACCTGCTCCCCACCCGGTCGGTTTGTGCGCCCTTCTCAAATTGATGGGTCTTAACTAAGAGATGAGGGGTCCCCTGGGGAGGAGATGCAAACAAAGCAGAGAGCCACCAGGGCGGCTACGGACAGGCGTGCTGTCGAAAATTAATTCTGAAAACTGATACCATCACCAAATTAGAGCTACAGCTGCATCGAAACCTACAGAGAGGGCAGACAAAGCCCTGGGGAATTTGGGTTAAGTTCAAACAGGGAGCTTTGATGGCACATGCAGAGTTCTCCCACGGGAAAGTGGCATTGCAAGGAGTGAAAGAAGATGTATCGACAATTTTCCTGGGGATGAAGTTGCTAGTTCGCCACTTTACACACCACAGACACACCACACAGACGGTGGCAATACCCCTAGCAGTACAGTTGGGAGTGAATCATTATTATTAATTGTGTTACCAGACAGCTTATTATTGGAGCAGGGCCTCATCGCGCCTGGTGCTGTACGAACACGGAACAAAACGTCCTGGCTTCCAATCGAAGCATAAGACGAGGGACAACAGACGGAGACAGACACAGGGAATACAAGTGAACAATCAGACAATCCTAGGCAGCATGGGGTTGCCAACTGGACGCATTCCTGGAGACTCAAGGACAATTCTGGAGGGTTGGCACCCCTAGCTAGGCAGTCTATTGTCTGCAGAGCTAAGCAGGCAAGGCTGGGATGGTGATTCACTATGTGGCCTTGGGCAAGTGCCTCAGTTTCCCCTTTTGTATCAAGGGGATGGTATTTACCTACTCCGCAGGGGCGTTGCAAGGATTAATTAGATGATGTTTGCAGAGCTCTCGGCAGATAACAAGTGGTATATAAAGTGCTTAGTGCTCGGCTTACCCGCTGTTAGGAGCGGGCCGGTATCACCAGCTCTGGCACACTTACCAGGTGGTGTAAGGGATCACCTCACACCTATGTATAAGGGGCCCATCAGACCATTCCCTGGTGCACCCAGAGGCTAAGTGATAACACCCCCCCCACACACACACACACAAACACTCCCCCCTCCGGGAGTTTGTCCAGAGACTGAAACTTAATGCAAACAAAGCCCCAGAGTTCGGGCCAACAGCGACCAGAGCCTCGAGCCCCAGCGCAGCCCCGATCCCGTCCCCAAGCCCAAAGGGGCTCTGAAGCCGAGCCGAGCCGGGCCAGGGGGGTGGGCGGGGGGGGGGGGCAGGAGAAGAGAGAAAATTCGTTTTCAAGCAGCTCTTTGAAGCCCCCCTCCCCACGAGGGGGTTTGGCTGGGCAAGTCTTAGATCGCCTTGTGCCTCCCCCAGGACCCCCGCCCGCCTCCAGCCAGGGGGGAACCGGCGGAGGAAGGACGCGGCTCCTTTAAGAAAAGTTTGCCCTTGCTTCTGATGAATGAACTTGGGCTGGAGCCAGCGGCGCGCCCGATCCCCGAGCTCCAGCCAGCCGGGTGCGGCCAAGGGCGAGCGGGGCTTCCCTGCACCCCGCACCCGCTGCGAGCGAGCAGCCGCCGGCTCCTGCCCGGCTCCTCCCGCACGGTTCCGACCCGGCGCTCCCAGCCCAGCCGGGGGGGGGGGGGGGGGGTACACACCGGTCCGTCTAGCCGCATCCTCCCGGCCCGCTCTCCCCCCATGGCCGGCTCGGTGTCTCCCCCACTCCGGCTCGCGCCTGCCCCGGGGCTTTTCCTCCCGGAGAGGAAGTTTATACCCCCCGCCCCCAATCAGCACCCCCCCATCATCAGCCTCAATCCCCTTCCCCCGGAGCCGCCCCGCCCCCAGGGAACCTCTCCCTCCCGCCGCATCCACCCCGCTCTCCCCGGACCACGCGTCCCAGCCCGGCGCGCCGCCTGCACCTTGGCATGCCGCAGCTCGTCCTGCTGCAGGAGGCTAGGCTGTAGCAGCCCGGTGGACGAAGCGCTTTCCGCCCCTCTGCCTTTGGCCATGCTGCCGCGAAAGTTACTGCGGAGGGTGCGAGGGAGCCAGCGAGCTTCCAAGCGTGGAGCGCGCAGCCCTGGGGCCTGGGCGGAGCTGGAGCCAGGCAGCAGCGGGATGAATGAATGGGACGTTTCTATGCTGGGTTGGTTGCATTTAATTTCTCTCCCTATCACCTCCCCTTTTCCAGAGACACACCCCCTGCCCGGCCTCCCTGGCCCAGCCAACCCACGTTCCCCTTGGCGAGACCCACATGAAACAGACTCAATGCAACACAACCCCCCCCTCAAAATATTCAGCCCCAGGCAGGTAGTCAGCGTGGGAAATTCCAGCCCAGATTGTTTGGTAAATGAGCAGCTAAGGACAGGCTCGTCTTGGAAGTGCCATAACATCAGTACAGCTCTGCTTGTAAGTTGTAATATACATACAGGCCCAGAGACTGACTCTTCTTTCATTTACACCACTGTCACTTCAGCCGGGGTTCTCCCACTTTGCACCTAAGTGAGAGGAGAAGCAGGATCTGCAGCCAGTTGACATAAGAAAGGCCGGACTGGGTCAGACTAATGGTCCAGGTAGCCCAGTGTCCTGTCCTCTGACAGTGACCAATGCCAGGTGCTTCAGAGGGAATGAACAGAACAGGGAATCATCCAGGTAGGAGAACCTAGGATGGGGGGAGGCAGTTCTGAAAACTTCCAAACTTTCTTCTTTTTTGGGGGGTGGGTGTTTCTTTCTGATACAGAAAGCAAATGAAAATTCCTTCAGTTCTTCTAACCACTGTTGCATCCTATGGAATTGAACGTTTGGATAAATTCAGAAACTCAGACTTAATCTTAAATGGATGATTAACATTTCTAGGCAAACCAAAGGGAAAGGTCTCTGGGCATCTAACAAACGATATCACAACTGCAGCATGTTCCACAAAGTCAGATGCCTCAATGATGGGGCCACATAAGTACCTATATATAAAGGATTGAGTATGGCACTGAATGCTAGGCAGTCCTGAGTTCTAATCCCTTCTCTACCACTGATACAGTGGGTAGCCTTGGACATATCACTTAACTGTTCCCTTTTAGCTGTACAATGGGGATATTAATACTTACCTGTCTCCAAGAGGCTAGTTACTTTCTGAAGACAGGGCACTGCTATGAAGTGTCACATTTTAGTAAGACTCTTTGGCTTTGAATATTTTTATTTATTTGTTTTCTCTCCAGAGCAGCTCTTTCCACATTGTGCATCTGCTGTAATGGTTTGGCTCAATGGAAAGGCCCAGGTGCAATTGTTTGGGTGGGTATTAGTGATCCCAGGTGGAACAGAAGCAATGATAGTGGATTGGTTTGGAGTGGTTTAATTTATTATCAGTGATAGTTGTCTCACCTGCAGTTGCTCTGGTCAGGGCTAGGTAGGGGTTTCATGCCTGTACCAGGAAGTACTGGTGAGCCCACACCTGTAAGATGATATGACATAGGGAACAAAGATGGGTGGGAAATTTTAAGGAAAGCTTTCTCTTGGTGCTGTACTGTCTGATTCCGATGGACAATTTGCATTAGTGCAGATTCTGAGGACGATCACTCTACATGAAACTGTAGATTTTAGAGAAACCTTAAAGTCCTCAAGGATACAGAGAAGAGGCCCCTAAATTAGGGTGACCAGATGTCCTGATTTTATAGGGACAGTCCTGATATTTGGGGCTTTTTCTTCTATAGGCTCCTATTACCCCCCACTCCCTGTCCCGATTTTTCACACTTGCTATCTGGCCAGGCTACCCTAAATGCTCAGAGTTTGCAGGTTCTCCCTGCCTGTAGCTTTCTCTTGTCATGCAGAGTGACTTTCAAACACTGCTCACCCTGGCCAGATTGAAACCTGTGACCTAGTTAAGGATTTTCTTACCCTATTGCCAATCTGCCAGCTTTTTCCAGCCCCCATGAGAAATGCTTTCTGGCTGTGGAAGGTAGAATAGCAGCAAATAGGGAATTCCTGGGACAAGGCAGCATCTGTTGGGGTCTATCTGCTCTGCTCCCGTTCTGCTTACCTGTCTTATCTGTCTTAGCAAGTTTACTGCGTCCATGGACAACCGAGCACTGCAATCACATGTTGCATTTGAGAGCTTTTTCACATGTCAGATGAGCCAGTCCTTCTTTAAGGCCTGATGTATGATCCACCCTTTTGCACAAGCCTCCCTTCAGTGACCATGGCAGAAGCACAAGGTCCGGAGACGTTCCCAATAGACCAACAGAAGCAAAGTAAGTAACGGGCTAAAACAAGTTTCAGAGTAGCAGCTGTGTTAGTCTGTGTCAGCAAAAACAACGAGGCATCCTCGTGGCACCTTAGAGACTAACAAATTTATTTGGGCATAAGCTTTTGTGGGCTAAAGCCCACTTCATCAGGCTAAAACAAGACATGCTAGAGAGTGGGTGACCTTTGCATGGGGAATAATGCAATTCTCCTTTCTGACCTTTGTGCTTAGATGTCACACGGATGGTACTTGAAAAATGCCTAGGGCGAGATCCTCTGATTGGTCCAAGTGTTCTGCAATCCTCAACCCTAATGGCTGCTCCCTCTTCCTCCCATGTGAGCTTGGAATGGATTATTCCCATTTTGCGGGTGAGTCAAATGAGGCATTAAGTGACGTTCACATGGAATCCGTGTGGCAGAATCAGGAATAGAACCTAGCAGTTCCTGACTCCCAGTCTATCCCCTTCTCTAACCAACAGATCCCACGCCTCCTCCCACAAACTGGGACTAGAACCCTGGAGTCCTGGATTCTAGTCCCCTTCTCTAACCTCCAGCCAACACACTCACACTAGATCTCACAAAGGCATTGACTATGTCTACATGGCTTTCTTTTTTACTCGGAAGAATCCCAGTGTCATAAACTAGGGATTTTAAGCATTAACTCCTTTAGGAATATTTCCCCTGAAATACCCATGACATCTGGTTTCCGCTTCTTTCCTACTCAGTGAGGCTGCAGCCCGATTGTACGTAGGAATTTGGAGAACCATTTCTGGGAAAGGGGGAGAACGTGACTTTGTAACATCCCCGGGCATTACTGCTCTGCCACCGCTGATCACATTCCGTGCTCTGAGCACCTGTCAGGGGTTAGCAGGTGGCTCCTGGGAGGTTCATCTTTCTGTCTTTTAGCTCTACAAAGCTAGAATTTCCACTTGACGTCAGCCGATGACTGTGCCTTCCTCCCCGGCAGTTCTATTGAATTTTTGCTAATTGCAAGACCTGACCGGAATATTCTACCAGAAAGAATGGACAGTTTCCTCAAAAAGCCTGTTAGTTTCACTTGCAGTTCTTCTTTAAACTGCAGTGAAGCCTAGATTTTTGTGCCAAATGCTTCTTTTATTGTGGGCGTCGTGCAGAAGTGGGATTCTTTTGGGGGGAGGTGATGGGAGAAGGAGAGACAGGGCAGGAATGGGACGGGTTCTGAACATACTTAAGTTCAAATTCTTTATTCTCTGCTATGAAATGCTCCTGCTACTTCCTAGTTCAGAACACATCACCCTGTGACAGCCATGAATGACAATGAGATTTCAGTCACCCGGGACGTCGCAGGATGACGTGGGCTGGGTTCTATTTAGCAATCTAGGAAATGCCAGCCCATTTCAGAGGGAAGTGAAAATGACTGTAATAATAATACCTAGCTTTTTATAGAGCACTTTTCCTCAGTAGATCTTACAAAGGCGATATCATTATCTGTATTTTACATATGGGGAAACCGAGGCACAGAGCTGAAATGAGTTGCCTAAGGTCACCCAGCAGGCCAGTGGCAGAGCCAAGAATAAAACCTAGGTCTCCTGAATCCAGGTCCAGGGCTTTACCCAGTAGGCCACACTGCCTGAAACCTGTTTTTATGCCGATTTCCCTGCAGACCCTGGGCAGTGGGGGCATTTGGTACGTATACCTGAGTTTAACCTCATTTCCGCTCATCTCGAAGGGCTGGTCTGCAGGCAGATGCTTTCACATGGCTTCGGCTGATGTCCCACAGTGTGGAAATGTCGTCCTGTGGGCTGGGTGGGTCATGACAGCCTAGGCCTCAGTGAGATCAAACCTCATGGAAATATTGCCTTCTTCATTTGTTGGTACCGTGTGCGTCCATCTGTCCTAATTCAGGAAACATAACCAGCCCAAACTTCTGCCCAGACCCTGAACTGAAGCCAGGAAAACCTGAAATGTTTACAATGTTCAGATTAGTTTGAAGAAAGACTCTCTTCTCCCTGACTTTTCATGGGGCTCTGACCCTTCCCTAGACCTGTTCAGCAAGCTTCTGGCTTTCCCTGGACCCTCTCACGCCCTTCCCAGCATAAGACCAGCCCCCCTCATCCCCCCAGTGAGCCTCATGTTCCTTCAAGCCTACTTTCAGGTGAAGATCCCACCTCTAGTGGCCTCTGAAGGGTGCATTGCACATAGGGGTTCACAAAGCTTCAGTTCTGGGCTAGCTGGGAGTCTGCCAGAACTACCATGCCCTGCAGAGAGCTAATTAAAGGTAGGAGTGGCCTGTGTGGAAGGGAAGGAAAGATCTATGGGCCTGTTGATAGGTTGTGCATTGGGAAGAGCTTGGCCTTATATGAGGGATGGGAAGGAAACTGAAGGCATATTGGAGGATCACACCCGAGGAGGGGTCTGGGGGGTCTGGTAGAGAAGGAAAGGAAAGGGGCCCAGGTGCTTAATGAGGAATAAGGGTCGAGCTTTAGAGCCACAGCCAAACTTTTGTCCACTAAGCTTACTGGAGCCAACACAAGTCTGGTGAGCGTCACCCTTTGTCACTACTGCACACAGCAGATCATGAGGCTTAGAGTCACCAATCCTATCTAGGAACCATCAGCTTCATTCCTGTTGCTGAGGCGCCAAAGTAAATATGCTAGAACGGAAATCACCGTGACAGGCGCCCAGTGACAAGAGCAAATAAAACCTGTTCACTCCCTCGGGCTGAGATCTGGCCACGTTGCATTGGGATCTTCCTCAGATCCTACAGCAAGCAGCTCCCGAACTCACTTAGCTGTCCTGCTGCAGCAGGGGCCCTCAAAGCTTCAACCGGAGACTCTGGTGTGTTTAGAAAATAGCCCTTTTATAGTCCACAAGAAGGTCCAAGGTTTGCCTCAGTGAC